ACACTAGCTAAGTTTTCTGTATCATCAGGTGTCTTAAGAAATTTAAGAGCATTGTCTTTATAGATACTAGTAGAAAAAAATGAATTGATCGAAATGAATTGACCCCATGACTTTCTTAAAGTTTCTAATTCATTATTTGATATCATTTGACAACGATAAACTCAAATAGAATTGCGAACTTGACGATTTTTCAATTGTTGTTGAATATCAGCAATATATTTACGAAAAAGAAATATTGCATGAATATCTGACTGACGAAGAGCAGCATTAAGTGTCTTGTAAAAAAATGATTCTCGCGTATACCATCGTAAAGCATTTTCAGATGAATAATGCTCTTGAAATTCACCAATATTACTCAGTTCAAAATTATTACCTTTATATTTCTGTTTACAAAATTCTATCAATTCTTTTTGATCAGCTTCAGCATATTTTAGTCGAATAAGGCAATCCATAAAGACTTGTGAAAAGAGAAAATTATTATTTATGCCTGTTGTTGATACGCCTTCTGTTAATGTATTTGTTGTAAATATATTTATCGATAGAGGTTCTTCCATCTTCTTTTGAATTTTATGATCAGCTTGAATCCGTTTTATAAGTTCGTTAAGTTCAACAACAACGCCTTTTACCTATGAACAAGAACAATAGTAAAATTAAACAAAGAGTACTTTCACATTGTATTTACTTTCCTATAGTTCTGAGTCCATATTTTATGGGCTACTACATCCATACAATAGATATATATTGATATAACTTGTCGAAGAAGATGAATATTAGGAACTATTTCGCGTCCTAATTGACCACTGACAACCATAACAATTCGTTCATTCGAAGACTGTGCTTTAATATATTCCTCACATTCATGAACATCTTGAAATTTTACCAAATGATTTATAATTGAACGCAATTGCTGTTCAGTATGACGACCATCTGGACTGCTTGATCCAGCATCTAGCCAAACAAGATGAAACATTTCTAGAAGCATACCATCTAATGTTTTGTCAGCTGCAGAAGTATGTTTCACTGCGGTAGCCATTTCTTCTTAAAAAAAATTAAAAAAAAACTGAATTAAAACATACATTTCTGTGTATTCTTATTTTGATTATGTTGAATAGAACTATCACGATTAGTGGAAAGGCAACTCAAATTTAATTTCACACTTTAACTGATCGGAATTAAAGAGAAAAAATCCAATTCTAAATAAGAAATCCAAACAAGAAAAACTTCCAACTTTTTACAATTCACCTGAGCGAAATGAGTTTTGTTTCTGTTTTCTTATGGATGCTGTCGTTTTTTTTCTCTTTTTCGCTCTTCTGCCCGTCAGCATTTCGAAGCTATTCTCCGAGATTTTGTTTGCTTCGTTCTTTTAACTTTTTTTGAATATGCGTACATTTCAAATTTTACTTATGTCAATACCAATCAGAGATGGACAAAGTCGCACCGCGCCTCCCCACACTTCCCCGCGCCGTTGCTCACGCCTACGCTACACTAGTCTGAGCTTCGATGAGCGCATGCTCAGAGCATCCCGGTATTCGGTGAAGTTTGAGAAACTGATTGGTAGATCAAAGAGAAAGAGAGATGTGTGTAGCGCCTAGGCGCGAGCAGTGGCGCGGGGAAGCGCGGGGAGGCGCGGTGTGATTTTGTCCATCTTTAATACCAATCACAAAAATCAAGTATTTTTATTTCGACATGTATTTGAGCACAGTGAAAAGAATAATATGGATGTGCGTAGTAGTATCCTGCGGGAACGACTTTTTCTGATTCCCATTCCCTATTCCCATTCCCTAAAAAAAATTTTTGTTCCCATTCCCTTTTTCCCATTCCCTAGAAAAAATTTTTTGTTCCCATTCTCACGTTCCCATTCCCATAGTTCCCATAAGATTTTCTAAGGCTCTGTTCATCTATGCGAAAGTGTCATTGG